GTATCACAATATTTCTCTAACAGGTAAGTTTCTTAGATTTATTTTAATTTTTTCAAATCGATTTAGTACACGGAATATAATTCGTAATATAAAATTGATGACATCTGGCCAAAATGACCTCGTGAGAAGGGTAAAAGTAAAGCTTTAAAGTATAGAAATCAGATTGGCTATATCTAAAAACGATTATCACAAAGTTCTGGTTAAGCCTTGAAGATGATGGTTAGCTAGGACTTGAGAAAGTATTGGTACAGAACAGCAGTTCAATGTCAGAATATCCAGACGATAATGCTGAAGAGAAGAAGGACGCCGACGAAGCTGGATCGAATAGCCTGCGGTCCGGCACTACTGGTTCTGATGTTATTCGAAGCCGACGTTGTCGAGACATTCGAAGCGATCGTTGTGGAGGCTGTTGGAGCCGTCGTCGTCGAGGCATTCGAAGCGATCGTTGTCGAGGCTGTTGGCGCCGTCGTCGTCGAGGCATTCACAGCTATCGTTGTCGAGGATGTTGAGACAGTGGTTGAGTTACTCGAATTACTTGAAAGAAATGACGTCGCATAGGTCGACATTGTATAGGATGATACTGCATTGCTACTGCAATTTGGTCCAAATGACGGATAGTTGCCCGGTCCGAAACAACCGGTTAGGTAAGGGTATGTTGACGTGGCAAAATAGGCATAGTTACCGATCGAGTCATAAAACATTCCATTGCAAACATCGAAACCTGAAGTAACACGAGTGCCTGCTGACAGATAAGGCCCATAAACCACATGTCCATCTCTGGCAACACCAAGTACTGTCATCGTTTGATAGGAAGCAAACCCTGATATAGAATAGTTCGCTATAAGCCCATTACAAGCAGTAGTACCAGCACACGATGAAATACTTCCAGTCGGAGGATTGAGTACACAGCTGGACGCTATATGATAATGGTATATGCCGGCGGTCTGACAGTGAGCAAGACAGGCGTCGACGGTCTCGGCATTACTGCCAGGTGGTGGGTAAAATGGATCAATATCGTCCGCGGAATCGACATTGAAAATCATCACACCATCAAGTGCCACTCCTGCCGCTGTGGTCAGGGTTGTCATACCATACTGGACATATCCGGAGGTTGATGGCGGGGTTGCTTGATTAATCAAGTTGCAGACAAGTGTTGAAAGAGCAGATCGAGTAGTCAAATTTTGATTGAGTGAATTGATGCTGACCGCAGGATTGAAATTGACTTCGAAATCAACATTTAGTTCACTGAAAGTACCCATCGGAACGCTAGCGCAACGTGGAGGTAGACCATTTGTTTGAATACGAATTTTAGTGACACCGCTGACACTTCGACAAACAGCGCTTAGTTTTCGTTGCCATACACAAACGCCGTTAATTGTCGTTCCCGGGCACACGACACCGGTGGCCGAACAAGTCACATTGACTCCAGTAGTTGCTGTAATATTGGCAGCAGTATAGTTGATCGTCGTTAAAAACATAGAGGCCACCGCCTGACAGTCCGACAATGAATTGGACGCACCGGAGTTCACTTCGGGTAAGCCAATAAATACAAAAAGGCAAGATATCAAGAGCGCTGTGGAGCAATGCATTGTTGTCACAGTTGTGTATGTGTATGT